TATATACTAAACACTGAGATACACATAAGAGCACCACCAATGGCAGTAGTACTACAGTAAAGAAAGCGAAAATGTTAAGCGTAGCAACAGTTTCATCGTCATTAACCAAATTTTTTTTTGAGCTTTTCTAAGTATGAGTGCATTGTGTCATAGTTTTTTTTATGTGATACCTCAAACAAATACTAGTATAAGTAAGAAATATTAAATTACTGGATAACTAGCAGCATTAATTGTTTAACACTCAAAGTATCAGTACGAAAAAGAAAAAGCTAACTTGGCAACAATAAATAGTCAAAATTAAACTAAAAAAAAGATAATTATCAAGAGTTCTAGCAATAAAAATGACAGAAGAAAAAGTGTTAAAATATTAAAAAAAAAGAATGCTGTTTGAAGATCACAGAACCAACAAATTCCACTTCAACAAACAACCAGAACACAGTTTAAAGCGTTTCAACGGAAGAAGTTTTAAAAACTAAAAAAATTCCAGCAGAACTATAATAAACACAGTTATGGTGTTTTTAACGCCCCCTTTACTCCCGCCTCAGCCTCCCTCCTTCACTCATTTCCTCCACACCCCCTCATCCCATCTTTTTCCTTCAAAAGATTAAAAAAAAAAAAAAGAATTGCTGCATAATACTTAGACAGAGAGGAAAAAAACTTTCTGCAAAAAAATTTTTCTTACAGTGACATTTTACGGTCAGAGCTAAAATTTTACGCTCAACTATTTCTTTTTTGTTCCTCTTTTTCTCCACAACAAAGGCAACTATAACACCGGCAGGCAGCAAAAGAAGAAAAAAAACAATAACGGTTGTAAAAGAGCTCTGCAAACTAAAAACAGTTTTAAGAAGTTGACGAATAGCCAACATTTCCGAAAACTGCTGCCAAGCATAACAAGCGAAAACGAAATCATTTGAAGAACAATATATGAAGAAAGAAAGTAATAAAAGCACCACTGTAATCATCAAAATTTGATGCTGTTTGAACGGATATATGTGAGGGCTGCGGAAAAGTGAAGAAGAAAGATTGTTCTCACTGTGAACGATAGACCCACAAAGCACACAACTGAACACATTATGATATGTTTTATAAGATAGCATATCCCACGCACAGATATTGACACAGACACACTCTCTCATACATTCAGAGATAAATAAGAATACGCATACTTATACACAGGTGGACTTCATTAATGCACAGAAAAGCGTGTTCCAAAGTTCACCCAAAGACTCTATGTCTTGTTTCTGTTCTTTTTTTTTTCTCCGATTTTCCAACTCATATTGCTGAAGAACTCATGTGCGAATTGTAAAGTGGAGCCAATTCTCGAACTGGCATACCAAGATGATCTTCTGATTTCCTGAGCAGCTGATATGTGGCAACCAGTGCAACAATAATTGAAAACAAGTAGCAAACAATACTAAGACTAAACAGCGTGAATGCCCATCCCATATATTGCTGAAATAAAGTTTCGCTGTAACACTACTTTAGATATGTATTAACAGATCAAAATTGGGTTCATGTATACTCAACGCTGAAGATACTGTGGCTTAATATCACTTTAAAACTAGAAAAATAAACTTAACTGCTGAGGTATTTAATCTAGTACTGAATACAATTTTTTTATTTTAACATTTAAAACGTGGTTCATTAAGCTATCAAAATTTGAAAGACCATGGAAAAAATCTGATATCGTTTTGCAAAAGAACTTCGTAAAAATTTTTTTGTTTAGATATTTTTAGAAGTTCTGGAAAAATAACTTCTCAGTCAAAAAAAGTTTACAATTACTGGCACTTTAGGTGATGCAAAAGAAGCAAAAACAAAAAAAAAATAATAATTACCTCGTAAGTCCCAACATGACCGTGAACAAATCGAGCATCAACTCGATGAGCAGCAAAGTAGAATACACCCATTGCAGAAGTTGAAAAAAATACTGAAACTTTGAAGAGTATCAAATAAACATTAAACATTTCCAAAAAGTATGAATAAAAATAAAAAGTAACATATTTACATAAAAGCCATGGCATAACAAATTCTGTTTATAACCCTTCATATATATATATATATA